GCTAAAGCTCAGCCCCTGGAGACCCCACAAATCTCTCAATGTGGCCCCGTCAGTCACACTACAGTGGTGGCCTTAGCAATAAAGACGCTAACTGACCTTTGACCTGGAGAGGAAGGTGCTAAGCTAGCATGTTAAGACTGCATGAGGTATCTGCTAAACCCGCTGTCTTAGCTGGAAATCTGTGAATGAGATATAGTACTGATAGGATTAAAGGGGATAAATGAACAAAATCAATGTGGGATTGTCACCACTGAGTTAATACAGCAACTGCTGGAACACAGCATTATTCCACTTCTAATAGGATCCCACAAAGTTTATACAATACAGTGCAAGACAAATGGTCATATTCATAGCAGTTTATATTATAACTCAGTTTAATATTTTGAGCCACTGGTATAACCTTCCAAGACAAACTTACTTCACTTTATTCTCTGTGCGGTTGCACCAGTAGAATCTGATGGCTATATGATACGCTGAGAATAACTACCTTCCCATCATTTGCTTTTATTTTCAGCCCCTCTGGTGGAGGACTTGGGTGTTGAGTGATGTTATTGGGGTGTGAAGCTGGAAGAGTGATGGAGTGAGCAAGTGTAAAACACACACACACACACACACACACACACACACACGCACTGTGAAACAAAGGGGGACGGAGATGGAGCATCGTTGAGAAGAGAGACAGACAGCTGCTTACAGAAACAAATGGAGGTGTGGGAAGGTATTGAACGAGCCTGAGCTGGCAACTCTCTGCTTTCACAGAAATCCAATGGAAACGTGCAGAGCCATTCTCCAGGCACCAAAGAACAAGTTACTGTACAGTATATTGTATTTACACTTGAGTGCACTCTAATAAAGATGCACTCTACAGCACAGAAATGGAGCCCGAAACACTGATTTCTTAGGTGTTCGGATAAAAAAATGAACCTTGCTACAGTTTCTTCATTCTCATCTTTTTCCATTTCACCTATTTTGGTGAAATGGAATAGGACATAATTTAATATGTGAGTTCAATAAGGAATCACACATTGTATCTGTGCAGTAGCAGATGCTCCCTAATAATCTGTTAAAGTAGCACCCATGGGATAAATGTTGGTGTGTGTTATATCGCTGAAAACCCAGGTGGCTGCTCATACTGTGCAGCAGGTCGTATATAAGAAGAATCATTTTTAGTGTTAGCTGTCAGTAGAATGACAGGAGGCACATGTGGTGGTTTTACAGGGGCTATCAGAAGAAACAAAATAGAGACAATCTACAAAAGATGGTGTGTTAAGATTGTATGATATGCACACAGCTTCTTTAAGAAGAAGATGTGTCAGAAAGGGTTATTTTCACAGGTGGTAAACATCAACACTGTACTGTACAGTCATGAATCTTGGTGTCATCATTTGGCCTTTAGATATCTACTGAGGTCCAGTGGATAACTTCATGTTACTCTGACAGGGTTTAACCTGGGTGACAACGTGTCGTTTTATATATGTTGCAGTTCCATGTAACAACCCTACTGTATTTAAACTGATTAATTTTTTTTTATACTTCTGCACCAGCTACTACTTCTTCAACCTTTAACTCTTTAAAGACCTTTTTTTAATATTTACATTGCAGGCCAAATGTATGCAAAGTCCCAGCACCCAAATGACCTTTATAAAACAGCCCTAAACAGTCCTACAAAGGGACATTGTTCAGTGACTTGTGCTCTTGTGTGTGAATGTGGAATATAATTAATTAGTGGTCAGGCTTGATATGGAATATTATTTGTCTGAACAATTTCAATCATATAGGAGAAGTAAATGTGTGTGTGATGTTTGTGATTTTTTTTATCTCCAGTAACTAGAAATGTGATGTCAAACAATAAAAACTACATAAAAGTATACATTATGATCTTAGATTATACAATAAACATCACAAAACAGTACTGAAACTAAAAGTGAGATGCTGATAAAAAAATAATAACAAGTCATAAAAAAAAAAAAAAAAAAGCCATAAACATAACTGTAAAAAAAAAGAAAAGAAAATTGAAAAGCTAAGGCTCTATCAGTCAATCTTGATGGTACACACTGCAGAATGTGTGTGTGTTATTTAATTTCACTCTGACCATAAGATTATTTATTTAATGACTCTTCACAGCGAACATTAAACAAAATGTCACAACAAGCTGTACTTCCTGTCATGACCAGTAGGGGGCACTCTAGACTGTTCAATTTAGCTTGACCACCACAGAGCTTTTCCTGCCATATAACTTCATGACATGAACGAAACAAGGTGTGTGTGAGTTTAGTTGTTACTCCGTTCAGCTGTCCTGAAACTAAAGCTGACACATTATCTGTAGTGTTGACACTTCATGGTTAGACATCCTGAACTTGTTCTTGCATGTTTTGACATAGTAGGTCTATATGTCTGTAAGTGTATCATGGTGCGATATGTATGTGTGGAAATGAGTTTAGAAACATATGCATATCCAAGCAGACACATATAAACACGTAGACAAAGGAAACAGGGTGTGTATATAGTTGTTTAGCAACCAGTCTTCACAACTGTGTTGCTTGCATTTAAACACCAGCAACAAGTTCAGCATTGTGCCCCCCCCCCCCCAAAAAAAAACAGTTTTATCCATCTGTAGTTCAACTAAACCTACCCTAAAAATCTACCAGAAATCAAATATAAACAACCACCAACATAACATACATTCATTCTAAGGCTTATCAGCACTGGGTAAACTACTGAAGCAACTATACTTTCACTCTATATTGCTGACTGCCTTATGACACCTGATCCAAGTGAGATATTTAGCTTATCGCCTGCAAACGGTTACATAAAGGTTTAATTCTTATTTAGGAAACAGTCACACATAACAGGACTGCTTCTACTGTAGGTCTTTCTATGACATGTGCTGCTCATGTCAGGACAGATTTCCTGGTCATATAGGTGCAAATGTTGAACTGGTTCACACCATTTAGGTGCAAACCGAATGTACTTGGGCTAAAAAGAACAAAAAAATCAGTTTCCATTGTCTGGTTTTAAAAAACCAGCAGGTGACAAAGATGCTCTTCTCTACATTTCTGTTTTGCAAAATAAAACAGAATGATGAAAGGCTGAGCAGAAAGGGGGGAAAACTTGGCAATGGAAATCAGAGGCATACTGTATGTGAAACTGGCATGAAGGCAGTGTGCAACATGCTGAGAAGAGGGAACTGACTGGGAATGACATAACTTCTGGGAGTCTTTCCGGAGAAATCACACAGAAAGAAAGGTGGACTGTTTATGAGGCTCACAGAGACACTGAAGGAAAGAGTATGTATAGCATGTGCATTTGTGTGTTAACAAAATAGAGACAATCCACAAAAGATGGTGTGTTAAGACTGTATGATATGCACACAGCTTCTTCTTTAACAAGAAGATGTGTCAGAAAGGGTTATTTTCACAGTCCTAGTGTTTTTTATCCACAACTTCTTAAATAACAATAATAATAATAATAATTCAGCATCTGCCAACAGCTAACAACATGTTACAGAAAAGTGTCCATGTCTTTTAGTGATGATAGTAATCAAATGTCCACATATAATCTGGATAGCAAATAGTGAATGATGTTGACTTAATTTTGTTTTGTCAAGAAAAAAAAAAAAGAGTATTACAGCTAAGAAGCTGCAGCCTAAATGTATGACAGTCTTTCATCATGTCGATACTGTTTTTTCAACTTTTCAGGACTGTGCTTTCTTTTTTTAGGATCTGTGATGCTGAACTGTTGAAGATGTTGCACAATCTGTGTGTGGACATGACAATGTCCCAGTGATATTTCTGAGGGTGCAGAGTGATGAGCAAACCACTACATTTCATACATCTCTATATTCTGTCAAGAGTTGACTAACTTGTTAAAAAAAAAAAAGAGAAAACAAACACAGTAAGCCTTGTCTTCCGCTGACAAATGTAGCTCAGCTATGTTCTTCACCTCCAGGCATAAACACATCCATAAGCCGTGAACCCCCAGTTACACTTTCCACCCTCTCAGCACACCTCTGAGTTCCTTTAAAAAGCCACTACTTAAAATATAATGCTCATATTATAATGT